CCCGGCCCTTCCCGACCCGCCCGCGCTGCCTCAGGCGGCGCTGGGGGCTTAGTGCGTGGCCGTGGCCTGCCCCGATAGACCAGGGGCCTCGGAGGCGCCCAGACCCTGGGGCAGTGAACACAACGGGCCGGCACCGCAGGCTGGGCGCACGGTGTCACCTGTGCCCGCTGCTGGGCTCCCCACCTCCTTCCTGGATGGGCTGAGGGCTGTGCGCTCGCTTTGGGGTGATTCTTTCATTTCTCAGCCTTTTCTCCGTGTAGCCTCTGGGGGTCCTGCGGGAAGTGCTGCCCCCCCCGTGCTGGGCAGGGAGCTGCGGCCAAGAGGCACCTGGCAGGACCCCTCGCAAATGGATCCCAACCACTGTCTCCACAGGCATGAGGCACGTGCTGTGGGTGACACCGTGCTGCAGGTGACACCATGGTACCAGGGTGGAGGAGAGCGAGCTGGGAGAGCAGTCTGGGAGTGTTTGCACCTTCCGAGCCTGCTTTCCCAGAGCCTCCCCAGGGCCCAGCTGGCACGTGGGGAGATGTTACTGCAAACATCACACTTGCGGTGCTTTTTCTTTTCCCACCTCCTTATCACATACAGCTGTCGAACAAGCCTCCCTTTATCTGAGCGGGTGTTTGAGGAAGCTCTGTGCCTATTTCCGATCCACAATGTTTGCTGAAGTGCCCTGCTATCTGGGCGACGAGGCCGGCCTGGCGGCGGGCGGCAAACAGAGGAGCTGGCAAGGGGCAAAACAGCCTGAAAGCTCCCATCTGAAAATCCACAGCAGCTGGTGCTTCTAGAGGCTTCCGAACAACCACCACAATACTATGCAAGGCCCAGAACATCTCAATTCACTTTATAAATATGTGTTGTCTTTTCCCATCCAGAACATGCAGCTTTTTCAGAGAAATATCTCCCTCATGTCCTCACTATCACTATACCTCACTTATGCCTTCTTTTCCTTACCCTTGAAAGATAAAAATATGCTGCTAGAGTAGCAGCAAAGACATGCACCCAATTTTTCCACCTTCTGAGCCCAAGCAGGATTCCTGCCTCAGGGCACGTTGTTCA